AAAAAAAAAAAGATTATGTTAGGAGTAAATATATGTCTTGCCTTTGGAATGATGTTCATGAAGCCGAAGAAGTGATTTTAAGGACTCAGCATTCTCAAACTCTTGAGTATTCTGGAGAAAATCTTCAGTTTGGTCTATTTTAATAGCAAACTATAACAGAAGTACAGGGAAAAGACATTTAAAAAATAAAAATCAAAATGCTGCTTTTAGACCTTTGTCAACATTTTTTATGTATCAATGGTCTGACTGTGTATGTGTGTGTCAGTGTGTGCTGACTTCTGGTTTTCATGTAAGGAAGTATATGGTCATTGTACAAAGTGCCAGACTAAGGGTATTCTTCATGTTCTTTTGCATTCTTTCATCTCTAGAAATAGTTAATGTTTGCTGATATAAGCTAAATTATTTTCTTTTCAATATCTATTAAACTGTTCAATTAAAATCATGTACTACAGAGTGAATACAGCCATTTTCAACAGTCCAAGGCAGTTTGTCAAAGAATAAGCAGAAATTTTGATAAGAAAATCTTATAAATTTTGGTAACTCACAAAACTTTAAGTAAATTTAACATGATAAATATAATTTATTTTTTCTCTAGGGGAAAAAGTGCAAGTTTCAGAATAACATGTAATCTAATCTCATTTTTACAATGATCTTACCAATAAGAATAAGAAGCAGTGTCTAATTTCATTTCTTATAGAAAACACATACACACACAAATTAGTCTGCACTAGTTACCAGAAGGGAAGGGAAAAGAAGGTGAGTAAATCAGGTTAAAGGCATGAATTGTTTGGTGAAGGATAGAATTGGACTTTTAGTGAACTTTATGTTGTATTTACATACAGAGATTTATTCATAATGATGTATAACTGAAACATATAATATTAAAATGCAATGTTACTGCAATACATTTTTTTTTTTTAAGAAAATGGGGGCACTCCCCAGTGGTGCAACGGGTTAGGGCGCAGCACTGCAAGCGAGCTGCAGCTGCTTCATGTGAGCTCGAACTCCACCTGCGCTGGAGGTGATCCACTTAGCAAAGCAGACCTTTCCTGACCCGCCCTCTGCTCCCCTCAGCAGTGTATTCCATCAATCTGCCTGTTCTGCTCCCCACTCTGTCTCTGGTGAATACTCTCACTCCATGCAACTCTTGCCTGTATCCCAGCTCTGAATGTGTAAATAAATCTTAAAAAAAAAAAAAAAGAAAGAAAGAAAATGGTCTGAAAATATCTACACCAAAGGGTTACTTACATGAAAAAATAATGATTTTAAGAATGGATGATGAAAGATGACATTTTAGCCTTTATAGCTGTAATGTATGATTTCATTAGCATTTTATCAATAACTGTATGCATTTATATTTATATAATTAAAAGTGAGAGTTGTTCCTACAAGAATAAAAGTAAAAAAACTTCTTTGTTTCAAAAAAATGACATAGCATTTTGATACCCTAAATGTAAGAGGAATGTATCCCTCTTTTCTTGTTTCTTGAAGAAAGTATAAAGTGATCTAGGGAATAACCTTAGAAACAAATTTCAGTAGATAACAAAATATATTTGCTTATGCTACTACTCTATATCTACAGTGGTAAGCAAATAGCATGCTTGTTTTAGCATTAAGTGTCAAAAGTAATTATTATAATTTATAAGAACATTTTTTTCTTTTTCTTTTTTTTTTTTAAGATTTACTTATTATGCATACAGAGTGGGGTACAGGCCAGAGGTGCAGGGGCAGTGAAAGGATTCACCAGGGACAGAGCCGGGAGCAGAACAGGCAGACTGATGCAGTGCACTGCTGAGAGGAGCAGCGGGTGGGTCAGGAGAAGTCTGCCACACAATGTGGGTGACCTCCAGGGCAGGGGATCGAACTCATGCAGAAGTGACTTTAGCTTCTTAGTGCTATGCTTTAACCCGCTGTGCCACCAGGGAGGGCCCGGCCCTATAAGAAAATTTTAATCAACATATTCACCTTTGGATCAGTATGGATAAATCATATAGTGAGACAGAGACAAAAGCCTATCCCTTCTAATTCTCTTTGTGAAGTTTTCTTTAAATTATCATCTTTGAACTTAGTGATTTCTATTATTTTTATTCACAGGCTCTATGGTATTTTGACTATGACAATAGTAATATGAAAATGAGTTATAAATGGTCTGGGATGATGAGAGAGAATGGTGTGAGTGTGTGCCTGTTTGAAATGCAGAGCAGACATCCACCCTCCTGTAGAGTGACCTGATGGCACTGGCCACTGCTATTTAGACATGTTCCTAAATTATAGCTCAGAGATTGGTAAGATAATAACCTATCTAATGATTAAATCTGTGACCCTGAAGCTGACTGTGAACATGATCAATCATTCAATAAAGTTCTAAAGTACTCTTGTATATGGATAGTTCAATAAGGGGATCCTACCCACCCATCATCTATATCCCTAATTCACTCCATTTCCAGCAATTGACTTAAAGGACATTCTTTGAAGCAAACTTCAAAGCACGGGGAAAATATCTTAATAGATTATTCTCCTATAGAACATTACAAACATTTTTGGAGTCACTGTATAAAATATTTCAGATTGCTATTTGAAATATTTAAAAAACAATGTTTTGGGCCCTCCCTGGTGGCTCAGCGGGTTAAAGCACAGCACTGAGAATCTAAAGCCGCTTCCGCATGAGTTCGATTCCCGCCTGCCCCGGAGGTGACCACATGGCGTGGCAGACCTCTCCTGACCCGCCCGCTGCTCCCCTCAGCAGTGTACTTCCTCAATCTGCCTGTTCTGCTCCCCACTCTGTCTCTGGTGAAGCCTCTCGCCGCCCCTGAACCTCTGGCCTGTACCCCAGTTCTGTATGCACAAATAAACAAATCCTTAAAAAAAAAAAAAAAAAAACAATGTTTTGTATGTAAAAATTTCCCTAAAGTTCTATTAACTTTTAACTTATGAATAGTTTCTTTTCCCCATTTTTCTTCTCTCTGCAACTTATACAAGATAAAAGTGGTAATGGGGGGGCACTTATCAAAGACTATTCTTAATATCACCTTTATTTTTGTTTTTTTTTATCATTAATAAAAATTGCTTTGGAACAGATGGGGCAGAAAAAAATATGTAGGTGTTTGAATTCAGCTTAGTATGAAGTGGTAAAACTGGGCAGAATGATTTTAACATCCTGATTTTAATAAGGTACAATTATCTTGTCACTAAGAATCAGAGTTCTGACTTGAATTATTGTTGAGTTAATACAATTATTTATTTCATTCAATCTGAAAGTAATTTCTCATCACTGAGAAAACTAGAAAGCATTAGCTCTACCTCCACATGAGAAACAAATATTGGGTCTAATGTTTGAAATAAAATACTTCCTATCTTCAAGCAAGCTCTATTTTAAGGGCAGTTGATGTCTGTCTCCCACTTACTAAGAAGTGTTGAATCAGATGTATCTATAATTTGAAGCCTGTAGGTGTATTTAACATGGTTTATTTCTCTTCAGGAATGAAAACTACATATGGAACTTATTCCCAAGATGATTAAATAAATTGTGAGTTGGCTTTCAGAATTCAAATTGTGGAAAACAAACTTGAAAGCTACAATGAGGTTTTTGCTTCATTTCACTTTTGAGTGAGTGCATAATGCATGAGATTGTTTACATCATTTTTTATGTTCTATTGCTAATCTTCTTTCCTTCATTCTAGATTTAGGTCTTGAATTTTCAGTTTGGAAATGTCATTTTTTTCAAAGCTAGTGCTTTATCATAATGAAGCAGTGCTCCCACATCAAAATGAATGTACTGCTACTTGACAGAGAAGTTAAATGTAAAGTTTCCAGTAACTGTCTTAGACCAACCATAACACCATTTTTGACAGTATTCTTTGACGCTCACATTTTGAAATTGAGAATCCCAAGGAAAACACAGGATTGAAGTTAAATCATTGGCAAAATGACCTTTGTATGCCCAGGACATTTTTCCTTTATTTTAGTAATCTCAATCTATGGAATCTGAACTGAATGGCCTTGGATAGCCACTCTATAAAATGTTATGCTTAAAAGCTAAACATTCTGTGGAATATTCTGCAGCTGCATTTTCAGAAGCAGCAAAAATAATCTTACCTTCTAACTTTCAGCCAACAAGAACACTCTAGCCCAAACTTTTCTAATAGTAAAACTCCCTATATACTGGGGATAATTATTTGATTTAGTGATGTTTTAAAACTTCCAAAGAGGAAAATATCAAGACTTACAGATGAGAGTTCTCATTTTTATTTAACATTTTCATATAATTTCAATTAACTATACTTAGTTTTTGTATGAAGATCTTCATTTAAAATATCAACTTTATTTTTTGATAATAAAAAACTAAGTACATTATACATATTATATATATCACTCAGTTTGCTATTTTTTGTAATGGTAGGAATATCTGTTTGTGGAAATTTTTTTCAGAAGAGCTATCCACTCACTGTGATGTGGAGATGGAAGATTAAAAAAAAAAAAAAAAAAAAAAGCACAAACCTGCAAGGCATTTTCAAAAAATTCAGAAGTCAACCTGAGAAGCACCCTCCTTCCTTCAAGTGTGGTGACAAGGGCTTCCCATGCTTCACCCAGGGTGTTGGCCATGGCATCATAGACCTGACTCTGATCTTTATTCTCTTCAGCTGTCCTATCAGCTTCCTGCAAGAGCTCCCATACCTGATTTTCCAAAGCCTATGGAGAGAAAAGCAATTTAAGAATTCCTTATAAGATTTCTTGTAAGAATTCATTACAAGAAAAGCATTCATTATAAGTATACAAGATCACATTTTGGGTATTTAGAAATATATGTTGTCTAGAAAGGTGTAGGAGAGATTTTTATAAACAAACAGTTACACAGGCAGATATATCAAGCAGGTAAATATATCAGCAGGGAGCAATGACAATTGTGGCAAACTAGGGAGTACAGTCAGACTAAAGGCATTTATATTTAAACACTGTTCAATGTATACATTTATCAAAAGAATATTCCCAGAAGTGCAGAACATATGTTGATCTCACATTCAAAAATGAAGAAAAGTAAGTAGAACACATTGGAAGAGAAAAACTGATAATAAAAGAAAAAAAAAAAAAAGAAAAGGTAAAAGTTACTGTTTATTCTAGGGCCCTCTTTGGTGACACAGTTGGGAATGCACAAGTTGTTTGCAGCCATTGCAGCACAAGTTCAAACCCCACCCAGGGAGGTGACCCATATGGCACAGCAGACCTCTCCTAACCTAGCTGGTGCTCCCCTCAGCAGTGTATTTCAGTGGATCTGGCTGTTCTGCTCCCCACTCTCTCTCCTGTGAATCTTTTCACCCACCCCACTTCTGGCCTGAAACTCCGTTCTTATGTGCATAAATAAGTAAATCTTTTTTTTTTTTTTAAGATTTGTTTATTTAGGGCCCTCCCCGGTGGCGCAGCAGGTTAAAGCACAGCACTAAGGAGCTAAAGCCACTTCAGCATGAGTTCGATTCCCGCCTGCCCCGGAGGTGACCACATGGTGTGGCAGAACTCTCCTGCCCCACGCGCTGCTCCCCTCAGCAGTGTATTTCGTCCATCTGCCTGTTCTGCTCCCCACTCTGTGTCTGGTGAATCCTCTGGCCTGTACCCAGTTCTATGTAAATAAATAAATAAATCTTTTTTTTTTAAAGACTTATTTATTTACGCATACAGAACTGGGATACAGGCCAGAGGTACAGGGTTCACCAGGGACAGAGTGGGGAGCAGAACAGGCAAATTGAGGAAGTACACTGAGGGGAGGGCCAATAAGTAAATCTTTAAAAATATATATTTTAAAAAGTTACTTTTTATCCTAAAAAAATGTTAATATGCTTGGGAAGTTTAATGTAAATGTTAAAAACCTAACATACACACCTAACTGTGCTAAGATAAAATTCATAACATGAATTTTGTCTTCAAAGAAAAAAAACTATTTACACATTGAAGTTTAAATTATAAAAAGTGATTAGTGAAACAAATATCCAAAGGGATCATTTGCTTGAAGCAATGAGTGATTTCCCTGTTTTCATTGAAAGGGTGTCTTCTTTAGTGTAGATTCTAAAATAAAGAAGATATGGAAAACTGAATTGAAACTACCATCTTGCTAACATGCAATGTGAGTAAGAAATAAAAATTTGATATAGGAACTACTCTGCCAGGGTTGTTTTATTACCATAGTATTTTCAGATATATTCACAAATATGAAATTGTATGTTACACCTTCTGCAGCCAAATTTCCTTATGCTTAATAAAGAGAGAAATACAACTCAAAATACAAGAAAGCTAGACAGTAGGTTGATATTTCATCGCTAATTCAAAAAAGTCTCAGACAGATTGGGTTGAAAATGACAATGAGCTCTTCAGAGACATCCACTGAATATGTGCCAGCTTTCTTCTCTGGTGTATAGGATAAACCAGACACATGATCTGTCTAAACTGCCATAAGAATTAGATCAAATGTTTAATTTTTTTTTCCTTGCTATTAGAAAACATAATATCTGGGCATTGCCGTCTCATGAGAAAAGCTTTACATTATCTTGAGGGCTGGTTAATTTTGTTTAATCTGTTTTTCATTTGACATATTTTGTTATTAAAATGGGATAACTTGTTCTCAATTTCTACTAATCAAGGGTGTTAGCTCAAGAAATACAAGGAGAAGAAAAGAATTACACTAGGAGTTTGAATATTAAGATATCTCATTCATATGATAAGACTGTAGTAAGAATTTAGCAGGAAATCTTGTTAATTCCACAACAGAGATACAAGAGAGAATAAGAAATAACAGGTAATGAATTCATTGCAGAGCAAAGCAAACAAACTTGTGACATTTCAGTGATATGTCTCAGGGTTGACATGAGATGATAGGGTAATTCTGTTAGTTGGCTATTTCTAAATCTAATGAGGTTATCATTGGAAGTATTTCTTACCTTGTTTAACATCTGTGAAACAGTTGCTTCTAACACTGTTATTTTCCCACGTAGCAACAATTTACAGATCTGTGATACAGAGGTTTTGGGGACAAGAAGTTTGAAGGAACATTTCTGACTTCCAATGTTCCTTAGGACTCTCCCATGACCTCCAACATGAACCACAAAAATGCTCTACTAACTGTGTCCCAAAGCCAGAACATTCTTGCAGAACACTCTGGATTAGTTTGGTACAAGTTGAGCTTGGGATTGTCTCCAAAATAGCTAGTAGACATTCTGCTTTAAGGATTGGCAGAAAAAAAATGTTTTTTTTTAGACTAAACCAAACTTGGCCTCCTATTCCCCAGACTGCCACACCACATCATTGCCACCTCACTGGGCAAGTGTTCTCTCACTTCTTACTTAGTCCTGCAAGAGTTCTTTTGGAATTTCATAGGATTTATGTACTATGGAAATTAAAATCAATCAAACTGGAAGATATAATTTTGCCCACATGAAGTGAGTCTGATGCTGTTCCCACTTTCACCCCATTTTCTCAAATTGCCTCTCTCGTTGCTGATAACTATGGAAATATATCAATGGACACATTTAGACAAGGGTCTAAATGGAGGGAAGAAGCTCTTCCAGACTGAATATCATCAACCATTAGATACAAAGATAAATTACCTTCGCCACTTAGGAGTTTGCCTTTTTATTTGTGTGGTTGTTTCTTCATTATTTTATTTTAATGTATCCCATATCTGATTTTTGTTTTTGTTTCCCACCAAAGTTGGGAAGTTCTGAAAGACAACTCTAAAACTGATGTGAGGAAGCCTATCACCTATGTTTATTTCCAAGTATTTTAAAGCTTTAGGCTATACATTCAAATCTTTAATACATTCCAAATTAATTTAGTAGTTTGTTATAATCAAAACTGCAATGAGATGTCATCTCACGCCTGTAAAAATAGCCTACATTAAAAAAAAACAAAAACCAAGAAACAAGTATTGGTCAGAGAGTGGAGCAAAAGAGACACTAGTACATTGTTGGGGCAATGTAAACTGGTGCAGCCCCTCTGGAAAACAGTATGGCAACTCCTCAAAGGTATGGTGTGGTACATACCTTTATGGACTTGTGAAGCTGTACTTCTCAAACCTATACAGTGTTATAAGCTAATGGTACTTTAGTTAAAAAAAAAGAGAGAAAGAGAGAGATTTGCATCTGAAAACACACCTACAAGGGGAAAAATGTCATTTCGTCAGTTATTATTTATCAATGCATTAACAACATTGTAATATAAATAATTTGTGTATGGATCTTTCCAGCTCAAAAATGACTGTATTATTCCAACAGTCCTTAGAACACCCCCAATCAATAGGGATCTATATGAAGTATTTCATTTTAATGGAAAGAATACTTTTTATGATCCATTAAAGCTAAAAATAAACCATCACTTGTTCAAACAAAATACACTAATACTTTCAAACATTCTTAAGGTTCAGATAAATAATACCTAATGGAGCCTGAAGTTATTCATGAGTGCATTCGCTCATATTTAGCAAGAGTTTTTCAAGCAACAATTAATATAATGGCACAGATAGTAAAGATTAAAGACTGGATATAAGGACATCGAGTTATTTTCTGTATTGTTTTTCTTTCTTTGATGTTTCAGATTTTTCTTAAAGCTGATCCATTTCTCATCTCACTGTTAAATGGCTTCCATCCCACCATCCTACTGAAATATTCATGTGTAGGTCCACAATAACCTCCCATTTGTCAATTCTGTCAAGAATCTTCATTATCCACATTTGTGATTAATGCTGTCATATGCTCCAATAACTTTTTTCTTTATTTCCACAGGTTTCTCGTACTGTCTTGTGTGTGTGTGTGTGTGTGTGTGTGTGTTTAACTCTCTTGTACAGGTTCCTTTCTATGCTAATTTTTAAAATATCTGTGTGTTTTAGGAGACCATGATCCTTTCTCTTTTCTTCTTCCTCAACAAGGAGGTGTCAGGGGTTAGGTTGGGAGGATTATATTAAAATCATCTTTGATTTTTTCAAATTATATTCAATTCTTCCAGAAATTTTGATGGAAAAGGGCACAAAATCTTAATAGCAAAGGGAACATAATCCCCAGTTTTGAATGGACTAACCCAATGAATCTCTAGTATTGATTAGATTGTGTTTTTTTTAAATATAATTTATTGGAGAGGACTGATAAGAAAAAAGAAAAAAACAACCATTGCTCAACACCTCTTTTGCACTGAATGCATTATTTGTTATATAACTACAACCACTTTTCACTTTTTATTTTTTTCCCCTAATTTCTGAACTGTACAGGAAAAACATACATCCAGACATCTAACAACTAACCTTGAAGTCAAAACTAAAACTGATCGTGCTATCTTCTCCACCAAGATTTCAACTCATCTGTCTTTCAGGAGTAGAAACATAGACCACGTTCACTCTTTTCTCCTCCACATCTCCTTCAATTTCAAGATCTAATTCGTCACAAACCCCACATAGTCAACTTCCTACATATCATTGAAAGCCTCTCTTTTCTCAATTCTACCCTGGGTTTAATCTCTCATCACCTCTCACCTGAATGTCTGCAAGAACCTCAGAACTTCTCCTTCTGCCTTCAGGATCATTCTTACCCCATCTATTCTGTACCTCAATGCTATGTATGCTTTCCTATGTTGGAAACAGAATATGTCAGTCAGTAATTCATATATCTTTCAATTGATTTTAAAATAAAATTCAAAGTGCAAGGAAGTAAGACTCTCAG